CAACCGTGATTAACAATTTTCTGTGATTTTCAAGTGATTCCCATTTTCTTATTCCTAGCTCTAAGATGGAAGGATTCTACAAAAACAACTCCAACGTAAACAAAATTCTGTAAAAGAGTGCCTCAGAAAAATTTCAAAAAGGGCACTCAAGAGCTCAAACAATGAGACACCATCCGAACTTTCTGGAGGAGGGTATGCAGTCTTATTCCCCTTATTCCAAGTTTCAAACTATATTTCACGGTCCATCATTCCAATGTCAACAGCTCCAACAAAGTGCGAACTAAATGCGGTAGTGGTTTTAAAAGACTACGGTAAAAAAAAAACAAAGGGGGGGGAGAAAATAGCAACAAAAAGGAATCCTCAGGACTCAAAGAGAATGAAAGGATGGTTTTTGGAAGACTTCTGACCCACAAGGCCGGACGTAATAGACGTTCTTACAAAGGTGCTATTAGCCTGAAGATTCAATACACTTGTAGCCGTAATTACATCCCCAGTTGGGTTTTTATACTCCAATAATAGCTTGGACGCGAATACAGCCCAGCCAATAGCGTCTGCCTGTTTCGGCAGAGGAACTGTACCACCCTATACTTAAGAGTTCGGAACAGGATTCTGAAAGCGCTGATGATGTGGAATGGGCTTAAGGGAAAGTGCCATATTCTCTTATCCAGATGTCGATATCAAATAATACGCCGCCATCGACAAGAAACGCATTTAATGCATTATTTTTTTTTCATTGATAGATGAGTTGCCTGTTTTTCTAATATGAGGCATTTAAATTTCTGCGTATTACAATGCATACATCAAACTAAACCAGAGATTCCTAACCCTTTTTCTTGCATCGACCCCTTTTAAATAATCAATTTTCTTCGTCAATCCCTATAGCATTCAATATAATCATAACATAAATAATTGCACATAAATAACTTAGAGATAGCAATCGGTTTAAGAATATGAACCGAAGTTTTGAAAAAATATTTCTTAGATTTAAATTTAATTATTTTTTGTGTTGTTTTTTTTTTTTTTTTTTTTTCAATTTTACTTTCGCAAATAAATTTTCAAAAACAAAATCACTGCTTCTAGTTGCACAAAAGTTCGATTTTAATTAACTGATGTATTCACGCAATTTTTTAATATCTTACATAAAATATCGCAGCTGAATTTTTAAATCATCTCGTTTAAAAATATTCCATTTGTTTCTTGTTTTCCTTTCTAGTGTTGCGTTCTCCGATTTTTTTTATTGTATTTTCTTGTATTCTTGCATTTTACTTTTTTATATTGCACGCATTGCATAAAAATGTATATGATTTTTAAATAAATATTAAATAATTATAGTATATTTTTTCTCTTACATTATTTTATATGATTTCTTTCTTTTAATTTTTTTAGAGTTTAAATCAGATTATGTAATAATTAGCGAATTATTTCTTCAGTTTAGGAAACGAAAAGAATTGTTTTTGTATGAATATACTAGTGTGTATGAAGGCTTAACATAAGCATTTTGTGAGTTGTAGAAATTTGCGTTACTTTATGTTAGGTTTAATTAATAGACGTCAATAAATGTTTTCACGTTAGAAATATTTACAGCTATTCTTTAAATTCTTAATGTCGCCATACTGCACAGCTAACCAACGCATTTAACATTTAGGTGGCCTGGAAAATAGCCGATTCTCAAAGCACTGCCATTCGAACGTGGCATAAGTTCGTTAATTTTCCTTTCAGAGAATAACTAGTATAACTGCTTAACAAAGTAAGATATTTAAAAGTAAAAAACGTACTATTTAATAATTTACGTTTTTATTTTATGTTCTGAACAATACATGCTAATAATATAATTTAAAATTTGTTTACTTCATGTAATTTATGACGCATTTATTACATATTCACTCGATAATGGTTAAAGACATTTGCAACATTATTGCTACGAAAAATATTTCTTATGCCGTATATTACATAACAGACACAGAATAAGAATAACCATTTGCATGCATCTCAGTAAAGAATTACTCATTATTCATTTACTTAAGCAGTTATTTCATTTTAAATATTGCAACAGGTAACTCAGTCATCGCAAATTAAGAACAACCAATCTGTAACATAGTATAGAAGATAAACAGTTAAGATTTCTGGGCTAAATTTACAATTATTTAATAATTTAGCTTCTCAAGTATCGTAATTACAGATTAGAACACTGAATGACCACACCAGTACGTAAACAACGACTAAAATATTGTTTCATAAATAATAATGCATTCCTTTCACCAAACTAAAATGTAATTATAAAGTTCCTGCAGTTTGAAAGAACGAGCATTAATGACCACGGCCCAATATTTCTTACAAATATAAATTTTACTTCTACATATTCCTCAATGAATGACTCTTACCAGTTCTTATCCTTAACATGCTGGATTTAATATTATTACCTACACAAAATTGTAGATGGCTTCACGCCTAAATGTGCCTCCTTGCAGTAAAGATAATAACAAAATAATCCCTCAAAACCGTTGTACAGGACTTGCTCAGAGTTTACGTAACTACATCTATACGCTGTTTTTTCTGTTTGTTATTTAATTAATTAGCACACTTTTGGTAAGAATGCCATAAACGACGGCGAAAAAATACATTGCTAGTCACTATTAAAGTCAGCCGGATTAAGTACTAAAAAATTTAAATTCATGATTGGATCTTCGAAAGCGAATATCTGACTAAGAATACTCTCTTTTTACCGACAAAATAATTTTCGAATTAACAAAAATTCTTATAGGCTAAAATTCTGATAGGCTAAAATTTTGATCATTCATGATAAAATAAGTTTGTACTGAATATTGACGATGGTTTATCTATTAGGATAATTATGTATCTTTTTTTTTCCCATAACAATGAAACTGGGAAGCGCCAAGGTATAAATTTGTGAGACAGGATTAGCAGAGCCATAAAGTGTTTTGTTCAGGCGATGTTTTGTCGTCTTAGCTTCTTTTCCTTCCCCAGCCACTCACCTCCCGTCTTTGGGAAATACTTTTGCAGCGAAATGTCGCCTAATAGATAAGACTGATGAAACTAAGAGCACAGAATTAGTCTATTATTATTTATTATTTTTTTTCAAAATTTCAAGTTTAAATCATGTAAAATTTCATTCTTATTAAATAAAGATTTCATAGTTGTTTTGATTTATGATTCTTTTTACAACTGCGTACTTAAAAAGGCGTTTTGAGAAAATGCATTAGACAGAGAATATGTGTTCATTTAACCTTTGAACTCATGTGTTCAAAGGTTAATTGCAGACACATCATTATCATAAAAATCCGTCTCGATATTGAGGTTGAGAAGTCCTAACGTAATTTCGTAATTTGAATTTTTATCATCAAGAGTAAAATTCCAGTACAGTACAAGAGCTTCATTAGTAACTGGGGAAGGGACTTTCTTTTAGACAGTTTGATGAAGTATGTGACATAGTTTGCCGATATTTGAATCCAGTTATTATAAAGACAGCAATAGGGCGAAGTGCGTTCACATGACAGATGGCATCTGAATAGACACAAAAGAGTTTGTTACTTTCCTATCAGAAAAACAAGATTTTTCCTTCTTTTGCGAAAATGGTAGATTTTAGTGGACGAAGAAACACAGCAAGTCTGATAGCTTTATAATAATAAAGCAAGAAAGAATTAAATCGACACTGGAAAGAATGCCTCATAAAAAATTACCACTTTGTTAACCTTAAAATATTTTACAATTAAAATTAATTTGAAACATTTTCCTCTGCTTTGGATTAATAAAATGGAACAAAATAATAGCAATTTTTCCCTTTTTTATTTTATGAAAAGTTATGATGTAAGAAACTTCGTGCAGTGAGATTAATGTCCAATAGAGAAAAAAGAAGAAGAAGCAGTCTTTGCCAGAATAGCTTACTTATTTTTCTTTCATGCACTTATTTACACACTCATCAACCACATAATAATACATTCCTTTCTTAAAAGAAATATACTGAAATAAAAATATGTACTTAAGATATTTACACTCGGCTTACAGTATGCAACAGTTAAGTCCCAGATACGCATGCAATCTTCATACTTTCAAACAATTTTTTTTCCACCTACATGGTAATCCTAACAATTTTTTTTGGTTGCTTGACTCTTCTTATTAACTTTCCTAAAATTTGTTGTTAATGAATTTAGGAATATTTAAGCGAAAAAACATAGAATCATTTAGAAAATCCAAAGTTATAGCGCGAGTTATTTACTAAATAGTAGCAACAGTAGTACAGGCCCTCAAGAGCAGTTGCAGCACTATACCGAAAGAAATAAACAAGTGTAGTGCGCGCAACTGCTACTCATCGAACTCAGCTCATTTTCCAAACAAATACTGTATACCAAACGAAAATTTTCACGTCCAAACAAGGCGCCATATTTGAAAGCGGTCGTATGCCGAGGTACCACTGTATACGCTTGTGAGCGCAATAAATGTAATAATATTCTCTGTATAGCCTTATCTGTACATACTAACATAAAATATATTGATTTTTATATTATGGAAAGCTAATTTAATGTGAAAAGCAAGAAAGAATATAAGAAACAGATTCTACTCGCATTTCTAGACTCTCTCTCCCCTTTTTTTTTCACGCCTTTCGACTTTGCAAGGACAACACAGTATGATGAAATGCTTCTGCACCATTAAACAAGTCATAAACTTTGTTCATCATGCGAAAATTTACGAAACTCTTGAATTAAAATTATTTTTCAATGGAATTTGTCGTTTCTGCTCCTTTTCAAAATTTTAATTCTAAATCAGGAAGAGAAGAGAGGACAAGTTATCCTTGAGAAAAACAAGATTTAAAATGCCGTAATGCGCGAATGATAGATATTTCGCAATGAAGAAGCAATGGGCGACCGACCGTCGAAGACTGACTCTCACTAATTGAACCGCAATTTATACAAAAGCAATCCAACAGAAAAAATATTACGACATTGCCTCTGACAGCGCGGCTTCAATAGGAAATGAACACCTACCTTGATTGCGAACGACTTTGAATTCCCGATTATAGTCGTTGAGTGTTTCTCTTAAATGTCTGTTCTCGATTTCCAAATCTTGGATTCGCATGGTGCGCTGCAGAAGCACTTGGTAGTGTTCGAGGGCGGGAACAGGATCTGAAAAAAAATTTTTCCTAAATTGAAATTGGCATAAAATTATTAATTTCTACAAAAAAAAAAAAACATATTTCAGATATCTTACTTCTTCATGAATAAAATTCTGGGATTTTTTTCAATTCTGAGATGCACTTTTTACTTCCTTGTTCGAAGTAAAAAGGAAGTACTGTAATCGAGAAAAATTTTGGTTATAATAATATCGACAGAAATATCTCTTTTGGCCGTTCCCGAACTCATTTTTTAGGGTGACAGCTATATTTTAGGGCTATATTTTAGCGATTTTTTAGGGTGACAGCTATATGTACGGACAGAATAAAACACTGTTTCACAAAACGTTTTGTAAAATGGATTTAAATGGATTTAAAATGGATTTTTGGGACGTCTGTACGTATGTATGTATCTCGCGTAACTCGTAAAATTTTGTATTTTATTCCACTGCTCTTTCACATTCTTCCAGAGTCCATCCAATGTTTTGGGATGCCGCTAATAAGAGCTTGTTTTAAGAGTCTAAATGCACAGTAATCCATAGGGGACAAATCAGGGGACTTGGGTGGGGATGCGTTTAGAGAGAATAGCTTCAATTCCAGTTTCATTTCTCATTTTTTCAAAAAAATAGAGTCCTAGTTTAGAGGTAAAAAATTGATCATATTTGGAGACGTACCCTGATGGAACTTAACACAGTGAAGATTGTCCGGATAAAGAGATGGAATTTCTTCTTTAAAAATAGGTGTTAAAACATATTTCTAATACTAATCCGAATTAATTTTGACATTTTTTTCTACTTTCCTTATTTTACGTTTTCCGTTATAAAAGAATCCAGTAATAACATATGAAGTCTTTTTTACACTTTGCTTCATCAATTATAACTCTATATTTCCACTTTTGAAATAATTTTCATACAGCAATCTGCACATAGTCTTACGCTGAGAAACATTGTTTCGGCATTAGGCGATGAACATCATGTATTTTTGTTTTGATTAGCTTTAAATCAGATTTTATAATTTTTTCACAGTTCCTATAAAGATATTTAAAGATTCTGAAATAGCTTTTTGGGGGGTGCTGGATTTTCTTTTAAAATGTGAGATGCGACTTTAGATTGAATAAGAGCTGTTCGTACCTTTGTGAGGCATGCATTTTTTGCCCTTTTCCCAGTCAGATGTAAACTTCGACATTTCGTTCCTTTCATATTAATTATGTCAAATATTTTACGTGTAGAAATATTAAAACCCTGTTTTTCACATCTTTTTTAAAATAATTTAGAGTATTTGTCTTCGGACAGCGCAAAAATATAGCCTTAGATCCATTGTTCACTTTTCAGCGACATTTTAAAGAAAAGAATATTTTAATACTGCACACTATAATTAAACCTTATTCCAATTTGACGCCAGTCACGCTTGTATTTTAAACTTAATACCTAAATTCATGAAAAAATTCAAAATCGTTACGAAAACGTGTAAACACCCTCTGTATATACCTAACTCCTTAACCGGCTTAAAAGTCCGCCTTTATTTTCATAATCGTTGTTCATAGTCATATACTTTCAGTTGCAGAAGTGTTTTAAATGCTGGAATTGACCAGAATATTTAATTTCAAAATTTGCAACAATTTTTTATCCCATTTTTAACTTGTCTTGAGTGACTGGTTAATTAAGTTGGAATAATTCGAGGAAACAAATTTTAATGAAATGCAGCAAAAGAACAAAACTGTCTAAATGACAAAAATTGCCAGTTCATATTTTTAAAAAAATTAGTTTTTGACAAATAACGAAATCTGATTTTTAATGCTCCGTTCCTTTACTTAAGAAATTTTTATAGTCGTTATGAAAAATAAAATTACAAGAACTTTGACTTCCGAACGACAAAAAATTGATCAGATATTTAATTTACAATTTTTGACTTCATTATCAACTTGCTTTAAGGAATCGATTAATTAAGAATAATTCGGGGATACAAGTTTCAGTGAAGTGCAATAAAAATGTATATAATAAGTCGTACAAGGAAGTCATGTGGTGTCAACATCAGATTTTTTTCTCTTGTAAATGTATTTCAAAAAATAAGGGCGTCTTAAAATTAATAACCTCCTAGAAGATAATTTTAATGTTTCTGTGTGTCGTTCTTGTTTGAATTTTCCCACATTCACATATCATACGGTGTTCTGAATTTCTTGAACAAGTTAGTTCCCGAAAGAGCCACTTCACTATGACCACGTTCAGAATCAGTATATCAGAAAGCATGCCCTCCCTACTTCCATGACAGAGGCATGCGCCCTCGTATCTCAGCATATATGGGGAAAGGGGCGACCCTGATCATTACATTTGTGATTTGGCAGAGGGTAAACATTTGATAAAGATTTGTTAAATTTGGGATAATCTAACAACCTTCTGAAAATACGCTATAAAGAATTGACATAATAGGGACATCAGAGATATATTTCAATATATCCAGAGATTTGGGCTGGATATTTATCAATTGTAGTGTTATTAGTCTATACTGGTATCTTCAATGCCGCTTAAGCCGCTATAATGGTTAGTGAGGCGCACTGCAGTGTCGGTGGGCCCGGGTTCGTATCACGGAAAAGACAGTAGTACTTGTAATTGTATAATGTCTGAGCGGGAAGGGGAACACTCAAAGTATACGGAGAGCCGAAAGTCGTCTTGAGAGGTTGCGGTAGGGAAAGAAGGCTGGGAGACCCTAGGATCGCCCCCCTCCCGAGGTAGATGCTGGCCTCGCTTCTAACTGTACCTGTACTTTGTACCTTAAGCAGAAAATCGGATTTCAGTTGCTTAAGGCGTCGAGAAAAGAGTACGAATCCTGGATATCAGACATCCTTCCTGACACCCCCCCCCAAAAAGTTGAATAAGTCATCAAAATGGGAAGAATGATCATTAAATAGCTTCAAATTTAAAAAAAAAAAAAAAAAAAATACGAAAATTAATTTTAAAAACGCAACAAGGCCGCAGGTGTCCTAGATCTCCAGATTTTAACGAATCACCAAATCATCTAATATTTTCTCACAGTCTTGTTTTTCTGTGACATTCACAAGCAAGGTGGGTTAGAATGAACGAATCCTTCGTTAAAGGCTGGTTTAATCGAGCCCCGTTCACCAATTGCTTAAAAGGGAGTAGTATTCAGTAGTTCGGAGACCGATCCAATCAATGTGTGGCAACAAATGCTTCACAGTTAGACTTACGCAGCCTGGAATGTATCTGGCAATTACTTGATCACTTTCAATTTATACGATATCGCGTAGCTCATTTTTATTTCTTATTTTTACGAGTTTACATATTTGCTTGATGTTTGCTTATTGCCACAACTGACAGATCTATAAAGTAGCATTACAGTGCTTCTAATTTCTCTAAAGTAAGCAATACTTTATCAAATTTATGTAAGTAAAACAAAAGCGGTTTGGTAGTCATTATTCGAAATAACATAAACCCTGGTCATGAACTCTACCCAAAACGAAGATTCTCTGTTGCGGAAGCAAAACACAAGACAAATTACTCTCCCGTTCACCTTTACTTACGTTCGGGGATCTAATACCCACCTATCTATCTCCAGCCAATTTCGTATTCTGCGAAGCGGATGCCTCATTCTAAGGTACGTACTCCTTGCTTTCATTACTACAGTACATAAATCTTTACCGAATGTTCGACGTAAGTAGGGTAGAACAATTACTGCAACTTATACGTAGAGTAGCGCGGCAAAAGATGGACGATCTTTCGTTAGAAAGAGTTACTTTAGAAAATGAACTCTTAGCTTGATTTTACAAATTACAATAGAGCGGTACTCGCTTTTCCAAGCACCAGGAGGAAACAATCCAACCACATTTGTTTTGATTTGGGGATTGTTAAGAGGGTAAGAGGTTACCCCCTTCCCAAATTTTCGATCTTTACGCCTTCGTTTGCGTTTTATTCCTGCAAGCGTATGGGTGTGGTAATTACATTTATTGTTCCATTTGCGAGATTATCAGAAAGATCTGCCTTCGAATGTTGTCATTAATTGCAGAAGGGTTCGTTGTTGCCTGCACAAGGTAACAGAGAGGTCTCTCTCTCTCTCTCTGTGGCTGAACGTTTTCGAAAGTATCCAGTGAGCTCGCCTTTCAATTTCATTACATCGTTTGGGTTATTGAAAATGGCACCATGTTTCGTGGGAAAAAAAGGAACAAACGAACGTTCGATGAAAGCAATAAGGAATGACGGTTCAATTCCCGCGGGTTAATTAGTGCGTTTTCCGGTTCTTTCAAAAACGGAATTGAGATCATGCAGCATTGACCACATTAAGCTTTTCCCGAGAGATGCATTTTAAGAACGATTCTAGTTTTACCACAGTAGTTTAAAACAGACACATAATTCAAATATTAGAAGCAATACAATATTAAAAACACAAAAAACCTATTTGTATAAAAAGTTTTATACTACACAAGTCCTCCACTGTTTCTTTAGGGATTCACACTGTAAAAAATAAAGATGACCTAATACAAGTGAACTAAGTTATCATCCTACTCCTGCATTTATATCGAAAGAGCACTCACTGCAGTGATGTTTTAAATCACATATCTAACGTTTCAATGGTACACTTACCGCCTATCTTTGAAGAAACTTGATTTACTGTGATTTTATTCTTAAGAAACGAGATCATATTTTTGAATTTATTTGGAAGATTCGATACTCTGTAATTACCTTCAAAATTACAAACTCTTCAGTGCACCGTACAGCAAAAATTTCAATGCGCGCAAAAATTGACCTGCTTTACGAGCGAAGAAATGGTTCTGTTAATTTCCTTTTATTATACCATATCTATATTATCTGCAAAACAGATCTTCGTGCCATCAAAGTATTAACATTAATTATAAAAGGCATACAAAAAACTATTATCTAAGCATGTGATACTATACCATATTCGCGAGTGGGAAATATACAAGATAGTTTTAAAATCTCTTAAGGATCTATTTCGATTTAAAGAAAATCTAACAATAAATGGTTTTACTCGATATTTTCTTCA